TGACTCAAATTAACTCAAAATATCTGCCAGTGGAGTAAGAAAAATTTACTTGGTAAGATTCTTGAAATAAGAAAAAATTGAGTCAAATCAAGTATTTCAAGAATCTTACCAAGTAAAATTTTTTTACTCCACTGGCAGATATTTTGAGTTAATTTGAGTCAAATTTTCAGGTTAACAAGACAAATAATCTTACACATTCTGAAAACAAGATTATTCTTCTTACACAATCAGTTCTTGTTTAGTAAATCAGTCTCAAAACGAGATCAAAGACTTTTTGGCTGATATAAGGTTTTAAAACTTGGTTAGGTGGACATTTTTTCCAGTGTACGTTTTTTTTCGAAGGTGTCAGATTGAAATGTTTCCAGTAGAATGTTTCACTTTTATCACTGCAAAGTAACAATTTGATTCATATTGATGCTCTTTTCCAGTGAACTTCTTATTTGGTTTAAAGCAAAAACATAAAATAACGAAAATGTAGAATTCCTTGAAGGAATGCACACTGATCACATATGATGCCAAAGTTTAAAAAAACTTTTATTAGCTGCTAGTATTACATCCAAACACATCCAAACTTTAGCTTAATATTTGTAGAATTGATATAATAAGCTGTGGCAGCCATCTTTAATCAAACCTACTCTAAAGGTAAATCAGCTGTCGATGTATATTTAATAATAACTTTTAGAGTTTTGTTACAATCCAATGGGTCATGAGATATTTTCGTAACACAGACAATTATATATTAAACTGAAAACTGGATGTGAGGATATTCTGATTCCATTTTAATACTTTATCATAACTTCCTACTCAAATATTCTAATATTGGTTTTCAGACAATGAAGGCATTATTTTAAAAACAGCAGATTTTCATGGCAATATAAACTAAAGCTAAAAACTGAGAAAACGAGTCAATGCAAATAAGGCAAAGGTATCATTTATAGGTACAAGATTATTTTAGAATAAACGCATAACCTGACAGACAAATGAGAGATACCACAGATGCTACGGTTATTCGACAAACAACAAGCCTGTAAAGGTAAAACGTTCACCACCAATAACTAGCACACACCGAGACGAAGGCACTGCCTCATCAGCCCTCCCGACGACATGTTCTTCTCCGCTTCGATCTCGCTGAAGTTGAGGGAGCTGGCGAACACCAGGACGTCCACCATGGCCATGAGGCGGGACAAAAACGTGACGGCCGTTTCTGAAGACATGCCCTGCGTCGCCTCGATGTTCTCCAGCTCCGTCTGGGAAAGGGGAGGGGGAGAGGCAAGGTGCACACGTGCTCGACGGTTATTCTGGGACAAAAACTAGAACATAAACAGTGAAATGGGTGCTCTTTGAGTGGGCTGAGAGACGATGAAATAAGGTGGTATCTTCCTTTAATAAAAAAGGTGATCTTTTGCACCATCAAACAAAAAGAGCAACCTTTAGTATCATGCTGAGAACTTATGTAAAAGATGAAATCAGACTGTATGAGGTGTTCTGTACACACACAGGTGATGTGACAGGAGCAGTGAGGCCTAGAAGCAGCACCGAAGTAAACAAAGTTTCTCATGAAGATTCATTACGTGACACTTAAAAGTTCCACTCAGTTGCAAACTAAACTGAAATCCTGCAATGAACAATAGGGCGACGCTGCAAGGATTTGTTGTTTCTCTGCTTCAGGGAGCAGGATGTTCAGGGCTGTGGAGAGCCAAATAGAGGAAGTGACCACAGACAGTTGGGGAGTAACAGACACACAGGGTGAGCGATAAAAAAAAACGACAAAAAAAAAAAACGCTGGTGCTCTTAGTTCTTCTGATGATGATGAGAGTCTCAAGTTCTGTACGCACCTCTCCCCCTGCACCTCCTCCCCCAGGAACAGGGGTCACCTCCTCTCCTTTAGAACCCCTCTGGGGTCCGGCTCCTCCTGCCTTCTTCAGTGTCGATACAAACGAGACATTCTTAGCAGATGAAAGCCCCGAGGACTCTTTAATTTTTTTCAGAAAACTCTTTTTTTTCTCAAAACTAATAATCCCTTTGCTTCTTCTTTTTCATTTTACTGACAAACTTTTGCACATTTTAGACACTTCTAGTGTCTATCTGTCTGTCTATCTATCTATCTATCTATCT